TGCTCAGCTCGGGCTGGACTCGAACCGCTGTTGCTCAGAGCTCAAACTCTTGAGCGAGCTCTTAACCAACTGAGCCACTCGGCCGGCCCTTAGATTTCATTTTTTAAACAAAAGTAAAACTATATGATTAAAAATAGGTATCAGGACTTGGAGCAATTACGTATTTCTTTCCCTAACTAACCATTCTCCAACATATACAAACCTAGTGTGAAATACTTAGCATAGTTGGATTACAATACAGTTGGATTAAATCATCTCTTGCTCTGGATGAATTTAAATATGGTTATTTATAATATAGGGCACTAATTTGAGATGGCTAGTCAGGCATTCTGTAATGAACTTTATAAAATTAACAGTTTTTACAGGTTGAGTAGAAATACTAAATTTACAAAACTATTTCTAAACTACGCTTGATGACTTAGCAAAGCATCCCTTGTATAAAAGCTAAATTTTGAAAGAGGTTAAGATTTGGAGTTCTAAGTTAGAATGTCAACTACAAATGGGTAAGCTCCTTGAATGCCTAGGAAATACTGTTTCAATCTCAATAACTTAAAGATAGAAAGTGCTCAGTAAATACTTCTTGATCATCTAAATAAAGCACTCTTAAAAATAACAAAGGAATAGTAATTAGGTTTGAAAATGAAGTTTGAAAATCTATGAAATAACCACAAAATGTTGTGATTTATTCCAAGACTATCTGACTCCAAGTTCTATGCTCTTTCAACTATGTCATCTTTTTTCTTTTCTTCACTTAAATAATTAAATTACAAAAGCATTTTAAAAGAGATGTTTATTTTAATAAAGAGGCCATATCTCAAAATATTGGTTGAGGTACATGAAAAACAAGTTATTTAAAAATAAGGAAACTGTGAACATGGATTTATCTTCCCTAAAAAAGCAATAGAAACACTACAACAAGCAGAAACATAAAATTAATGTGGGAGGGGGGAGGGGCAGGGAGAGAGGGAAACATAAAGTAAATGTTTGAGGAAAGATGGGGAGGAGAGGGAGAGAAGGACAGAAAAGAGGAGTGGGACAGACGGAAGGAAAACAGGAAAGAAGCAAGGAGGAGCAAAGTGGGCATGGAGAGAGAAAGGGAGGAAGGAAGGAAAGGAGGGATGGAAGGAGAGAGAACTGCATCTAAATGAGTATCTCTTCTAGTTCACTAGGAATAACAACAAAAACAGTGCTTTCACTGTGCAAGATATATCCAAATACGGAAGCTGTTTATTTCCTTTACCTACAAAAATAACAAGATAATATACAAGTAAAGGACAAATAAAAATACATTAATAAAAGAGAAAGGTAAACTTAAGAGGCAAAAGAAAATAGTTTCTAATAAAGCTTATTTTATACAGAAAGAAAATTTTTAAGAAACTCTAACTTTTATAATTTAAAAAAATCTAAATATAAAGACTGAAGTCACATTTAAAGATTATAACCATAAATCTCTGTTTAAAACATTAGTTTCTCTTTCCCTTTACTTCCAAAACATCTTATGAAAATTTTAGGGCACTATAAACACATAAAATTAAGTTTTAAAGGCAAAATAATGCTATAAAATGATCTTGTGATCTTATGGCTTTTAAATACCATAGGTAAAAAGGAATTGCAAAGGCTTCTAAACAAACACAACCTTATTTTTCTTATTAGTATTCAGTGATTTAATAAATAAATCTGATACTAGAGAGATAATTTTAAAAACTCCTTGCATTTATTACAAGTGCTGTATAATTCCATTTAGTATGCACTATTCAAAAATATTGTTCAACATTTAAAAAATAATAATAAATTATTACATAGTTTCACAATCAATTTCAGCTTATTTTAATATTTTTAATGCAAATTGGTCTAAGTGAAATCATTCAACTATTAATATATAATGATAACTTTCAAATGATAAAAATAAAAATCACTAAAATGAGCATTTGTCATACTTTTGCCATACCTTTAGCTAAAGCTTCTTTATATTTCTCTTTGGCAGAATTCATTTCTTTTATTAATTGTCTATAGCTGGATTTTAATTTCTCTAATTCTGTCTTTGTAACCTGTCAAAAAAAGAAATGCAAAAAAAAAAATTTTAATGCTTAAATTTACATTGTCAAAAACTTAAATTCCAAAGCATTAAATAATGTGAATGTTACTGCTTATAGGTCAAGGATACTCTTTAGTACACTATTACAGACAATAAATTAAAAATTAGTTTAGAAATCAGTGATAAATTCAATAGCAGAAAAGAAAAACATTGCTTGGGCCAGCCAAGTGGTGCGTTAGTTAAGAGTTAGCTTGGGACGCCAGCTCTGAGCTGCAGAGCCCCGGTTCAGATCCCACATGAGGGCCAGTGATGCTGTGCCCTCTACAGCTAAGATGGTGAACAACAGCTCAATCTGGAGCTGGGCTGCCGTGAGTAGACGGCGTAGGCTGCAGGCCCTGCTGCAGTGGGCTGCCATGAGCTACCACCATGAGTGGCTGGCAGGCAGCATGAGCAGCTAGCAGCCGGCGTGAGCTGCCGTAAGCCACCGTGAGTGGCCGTCCAATGGCCGGTGAGCGACTGCCTCACCTGGGAAGAGCTCAATGATAATACCAACATGGGCTAGTAAAGCGTCCTCCACAACTAGACTGAAGAACAAAAGGACAGCAACTTGTCTGTTCCCCTTCCCCGATTCCCCAGTGCTGTTCCCCTCCCCCAATTCCCCAATAAAATCTTTAAAAAAATAAAGAAAAACATTTCTTAAAAATAAGAGCAAATCAAGAATAATGTTGTCATCTAAAATTTAAAGACCAATAAATTAATTTACTGTGTACAGAAATATTTTCTGTAATAAAAAAGCTAATTTAAATATTTATTTTAATTGTACAGAGTAATTCTTCGTTGTCATAATTAACCAGGTCTGACCTGAGTTTGTTTTGACATTGTAATATCTCCGAAAAGAAGATGCATCTAACAACCACTGCTGGCCCGACAGCAATTCTAACAGTGGTAGCTGCATGCATGCATGAATGTGGTTATCATTTCAACAGAAAGGCTAGACAAATGCAAGTCCTTGACTCTATAGTCAAAAAGCCATTTAAATAGCATTGGAGGAAAAAAATTAAGAATCTTAGATACTGTATGAGATACTTCTAATCTACCTTCTGAGAAGACTAAGAAATCAGCAGTATGAACACTTGCAAAAGGGGCACAAGCAACTCGGAAGAAAAAATCTTAGAGACCATGTTCAACAAACATTGCATGAACACTGTCCTTGATGGTATGAAGGATGACATTATGAAAATAAACAAAAATATCAACAACCATAATACAGATTAAAAAAAAAACTTAACTGGTCAACTTTTTTTAAAGAACCTTATTTTTTTTTGATGAGTTTCACTTTCACAGCAAAATTGAGCAGAAAGTACAGAGATTTATTTCCCACATACCGCCCATCCTCATAGGAGCATTGCCTTCCCCATTAGCAACATCCCCCACAATAGTCATACATTTGTTTAAAATAATAAATTTAAAATGACCATTATCAACCCAGTCTGCCATCTACATTAGGTTTCACTCTTACTGTTGTACATTCTATGGGTTTGAACAAACATATACTGACATGTATCTACCATTATAGTATCATACAGAGTAGTTTCCTGTCGTAAAATCCTGTGTGCTCCACCTACTCAACATCTTTCACTTAGTAATATGCACCTAAGTTTCCTCCATGTCTTTTTGTGGGTTGGTAGCTCATTTCTTTTGAGCACTAAATAATATTTCATTGTCTGAATGTACCGCAGTTTGTATAGTCACCTACTAAAGGACACCTTGGTTGCTTCCAAGTTTTGCTATTATCAATAAACCTCTATGTGTGGGCCATAAACATCTATGTGTGGGCTTTTGTGTGAACAGAAGTTTTCAACTCCTTTGGGTAAATACCAAGGACTGTGACAGCTGCATCCTAGGGTAAGAGTACATTTAGTTTTGTAAGAAACTGCCAAACTGGGGCCGGCCAAGTGGCTCTGTTGGTTAAGAATTGGCTTAAGAGCACGAACTCTGAGTAACAGGGCTGCCGGTTCGATTCCCACATGGGCCAGTGACTCTGCACCCGAGCTGAGCTATCGCTGAGCTGCCAACAGATGTCAGGATGGCTCAGCTGGTGTAAGAAGACTACCTGTTCGATAGTGGGCTATGCCCAGCCGCAACTAAGACTGAACTCGGCACCTTGAGCTAAGCTGCTGCCCGGATGGCTCAGTGGGTAGAGCATGCTCTCTTAACAAGGCTGCTGGTTCGACTCCTGCATGGAATGGTTGCTACACCCACCTGCAACTAAGATTGTAACATGGCACCTAGAGCTTAGAGGCCATGAGCTGCTGACGGGCAGCCAGGTGGCGACTGGCGGCCTCCACAACTAAGATTGAAGAATAAGTTGGCTGGTTCCCTTCCCCAATTCCCAACACTGTTCCCCTCCTACAACGCCCCAATAAAGAAACTGCCAAACTGTCTTCCAAAGTCACTGTACCATTTTGCATTCCCACCAACAATGAATGAGAGTTCCTGTTGCACCACATCCTCACCAGCATTTAGTGTTGCCAGTGTTGTGGAGTTCAGCCATTCTCATAACTGGGCAGGCGCATCTCATTGTTGTTTTAATTTGCATTTTTCTGATGACATATGATGTGGAGCATCTTTTCATATGCTCATTTGCAATCTCTATATCTTTTTTGGTCAGGTGACTGTTAAGGTTTTGGCCCACTTTTTAATCAGGTTATTTCTTTCCTTAGCGGACTTTTAAGAGTTTTTTTCTACACTTTAGATAACAGTGCTTTATCAGACGTGTCTTTTGCAAATTTTTTCACCCAGTCTATGGCTTCTCTTCTCATTCTCTTGACACCGTCTTTCACAGAGCAGAAAAGTGTTTAATTTTGATGAAGTGCAGCTTTTCAATTATTTCTTTTATGGTTTGTGGCTTTAGTGTTGTATATAAAAAGTCATCACCAAACCCAAGTTCATATAGATATTCTCCTATGTTATCCTCTAGGCATTTTACAGTTTTGTGTTTTACATTTAGGTCTGTGATCCATTTTGAGTTAATTTTTTGTGAAGAGTGTAAAGTTCGTGTCTAGATTCATTTTTATATATGGATGTCCAATTGTTCTAGCTTCATTTGTTAAAAATACAATCTTTTCTCCATTGTGTTAACTTTGCCCGTTTGTCAAAGATCAGTTGATTATATTTATGTGGATCTATTTCTGGCCTCCCTATTCCATTCCACTGATCCATCTATTGGGCTGTCGGAAAAGACATGACATATTTTTTCTATGTTTTTCGTTGCAAAAACGCATCATGACTTTTCCGACAACCCAATATCTTGATTATTGTGTCTTTATAAGTCTTGAAGTTGGGTAGTATCAGTCCTCCAACTTTGTTCTCCTTTGATATATATTCTATTGGCTATTCATGATCTTTGTTGATAAACTTTAGAATCAGTTTGTCAATATCCACAAAATATTTTGCTGGGATTTTGATTGGGGTTGTGCTGAATCTATAGAGCAAGCGGGGAATAACTTGACATCTTGAGTTTTCCCATCCTTTAACGTGGGATATCTCTCAAATTATATCTTCTTTCTCTCATCAGAGTTCTGTCATTTTTGTCCTATAAGGCTTGTACAAACTTTGCTGGATTTATACCTAAGTATTTTATTTGGAGGATGCTAATGTATATGACAATTATGTTTTCAATTTCATATTAAGCTGTTCATTGCTGGTCTATAGTAAAGCAATTGACTTTTGTAAGTTAACAGCGTATCCTGCAACCTTGCTATAAACGCTTAGTTCCAAGTTCTTTATTGATTCTCTTGGATTTTCTACATAGACAATCATGTCATGTGTGATCAAAGACAGCTTTATTTCTTTGTTCCCAACCTGTATAACTTTTCTTTTTCTTGTCCTACTTCATCAGCTATGACTTCCAGTATGATGTTAAAAAGCAGTAGTAAGAAGGGACATCCTTGCCTTGCTCCTGATCACAGTGAGAAACCTTCCAAGTTTTCACCATTAAGTATGATGTTAGCTATAGTTTATTTTTTGGGTTTTTTGGGGTTTTTTTAGATATTCTTTATCATGAATGGGTGCAGGATTTTATCAGATGATTTTTCTCCATCTATTCATATAATCATCTGATGTTTTTTTCTTTTTTTATTCTGTTAATGTGATGGGTTCCATTAATTGATTTTCAGATATTGAATCAGCCTTGCATACTTGAAGCAAATCCCATTTAGTCATGGTGTATAATTATTTTGATACATTGTTGGATTTGATTTCCTAATAGTTTGTTAAAGATTTCTGCATCTATGTTCATGAAAGATATGAGTCTGTAGTTTTTTTTTTTCTCTTCTAATATCTTTGTCTGGTTTTGGTATTAGGGTAATTCTGGCCTAACAGAATGAGTTAGGAAGTTTCCCTCTGTTCCTGTCTTTTGAAAGAGTTTGTAGGAAATTGGTATAATTTCTTCCTTAAATGTTTGATAGGATTCACCAATGAAACCATCTGAGCCTGGTGCTTTCTATTTGCAAGGTTATTAATTATTGATTCAATTACTTTAATAGTTATTTGCCTATTTGTTTTGTTTATTTTTTTTTCTCATGTGAGTTTTAGCACACTGTGTCCTTCAAAGAATTGGCCCAATTCTCTAGGTTATGAACTTTGTAGGCATAGAGTTGTTCATAATATTCTTTCATTATCCTTTTAATATCCATGGGATATGTAGTGGCATACCTTCTTTCACTTCAGATATTAGTAATCTGTGCCACACTGCTATTATTATTATTATTATTATTATTATTATTATTATTATTTGTTTTTTTTTTAGTAAGCCTGGCTTGAGGCTTACTGATTTTATTGATATTTCAAAGAACCAGCTTTTGATTTTATTTTCTCTATTGATTTCCCATTTCTACTTTCATTGATTTCTGCTCTAAATTTTATTATTTCTTTTCTTCTGCTTACTTTGCTCTTTTTATAGTGTCTGAAAGTGGAAGCTCAGGTGATTAATTTTAGATATTTCTTCTTTTCTAACATGTGTATTCGATGCTATAAATGTTCCTCTAAGTACTGCTTTTGCCAAATGCCACAAATTTTGATAAGTTTTGCTTTCATTTTCATTTAGTTGAATTTTTTTTGTTAATTTTTCTTGAGATTTCTTCTTTGATCCATGCATTATTTAGAAGTGTGCTGTTTAACCTCCAGTATTTGGGGATTTTCTAGGTATCTTTCTGTTATTGATTTCTAGTTTAATTCCACTGTGGTCATACAGCAGACATTGTATGATTTCTTTTAAATTTATTATATGATTTATGATCTAGAATGTGGTCTATCTTGTTGAATCTTCCATGTGAGCTTAAGAAGAATGTGTATACTGCTATTGTTGGATGAACTAATCTATAGATGTTCATTATATCTAGTTGATTGATGGTATTATTAAGTTCAACCGTGTGTTTACCAATTTTCTGCCTGCTGGGCCATTTCTCACAGGGGGGTGTTGAAGGCTCCAATTGTAATAGAGAATTTATCTATTTTACTCGCAATTCTATCAGTGTTTGCAGTTCTATCAATATTTTGATGCTCTGTTGTTAGGCACATACACATTAAGGATTGTTATGTCTTCTTGGCAAACTGACACCTTTACCATTATGGAATGCCCCTCTCTGTCTCAGAAAAATTTCTTTGCTTTGAAGTTTGGTCTGTCTGAAATTAATATAGCTACTCCTGCTTTCTTTTGATTAGCATTAGCATCGTATAAACTTCTGCATCCATTTACTGTTAATTCACATGTAGTTTTATATTTAAAGTGGGTTTCTTGTAAACAACCTAAGATTGAGTCTTGTTTTTTTATCTACTCTGACAATGTCTATTTTTTAATTGGTTCGTTTAGACCATTGACTGTCAAGTAATTATTAATATATTTAGATTACTATCTACCATATTAATTACTGTTTCCTATTTGTTACCCATGTTATTTGCTCCTATTTTTGTCTTCTGCCCTTTTCATGTCTTTGTGGTTTTAGTTGGGTATTTTATATGATTCCATTCTCTCTCGTTTCTTAGCACATCAGTTATACTTTTTTTATTTTTTTAGTGGTTGCCCTAGAGTTTCCAACATACCTTTATAACTAATCCTATTCCATTTTCATATAACACTATCCTCATAATAACAAAATAATCCTAATTCCGCCTTCCTGTCTCTTGTATCATTGCTGTCATTCATTTCACTTATATATAAGCAAATTGAACATATATATGTATGTGTACATACATATACACACAAAATATATACATTAGCATACAAAACCAAACACATTCTTGCTATTGTTTTCAATAAACTGCTGTTAGATCAATTAATAATGAGAAAAATAAAAGTTTTTATTTTATCTTTACTCATTCCTTTACTGATGTTCTTCCTTACTTTATGTAGATCTGAATTTCCAACCTGTATCATTTTTCCTTTTCAGTCTACTGGCAACAAATTCCCTCCATTTTTATTTATCTAAGAAAATCTTTATATCTCCTTTACTTTTGAAGGATAATTTCACAAGGTACAAAATTCTAGGGTCTTTTTCTCTAAACATTTTAAATATTTCATTCTACTAGCTTCTTGCTTGCATGATTTCTGAGAAGTCAGGTGTAATACTTATATTTGTTCTTCTATAGGTGAGGTATTTTTTTACTCTGGCTTCTTTTGGGATTTTTTTTTCTTTATCTTTGTTTTTCTGTAGTTTGAAATCAATATGCCTAAGTGTTTCTGGTTTTGGTTTTTGGGTGGAAAGGTGTTTTTTGATCACATTTTGTTTGGTGTTTTCTCAGCTTCCTGGATCTGTCATTTGGTGTCTGGCATTAACTTGGAGGAAGTTCTCATCATTATTGTTTCAAATATTTCTCTGCTCCTTTCTCTGTTTCTTCTCCCACTGGTATTCCCACTACACATATGTTACACCTCCTGTAGTTGTTCTACAGTTCTTGAATATGTTGTTCTTTTTTTTTTTTTTTTCAGACTTTCTTGTCTTTGCTTTTCAGTTTTGGAGATTTCTATTGATATTTCCTCAAGTTCAGAGATTCTTTCCTCAGTAGTGTCCAGCTTCCTTGCGAGCCCATTCTTCACATCTGTTACAGTGTTTTTGATCTCTATCTTTTATTTTTGGTTCTTTCTTAGGATTTCCACCTCTCTGCTTACATTGCCTATCTGTCCTTGCATGCTGTCTATTAATACTTTATCCATTAGAGCTCCTAACACACAAAACAAAGAGATAGTTGTTTTAAATTCCAGCATCCCTGCATGTCTGGTTCAGAGGCTTGCTCTGTCTCCTCCATCTATGTTTTTGCCTTTTGCTAGTCCTTATCACTTTTTCTTGATTGCCAGGCATAATGTATTGGGTACAAGTAACTGATGTAAATAGGTCTTTATGAATGCAGTGATAAGGTGTCAGGGGAGGAGAAGCATTTCATAGTCCTACAATTATGTTTCAGTCTTTTACTGAGCCTGTCTCTGGACTGTGAATTCTGCATGTGCTTCTCAGTGTCCACCCTGCTTACGTAAGACAGGATGGCTAGAGTGGGCTGAAGTTGACTATTTCCCTTCCCCCAGGTCTGTTAGGCTCTGCTTAAACAGTTTCTCTTGAGAGCAGGCCTGTAAAGAAAGAAAGCTCTGACATATGTCAAAATGGTTCCTTTTCCCCTCCCGCTGTGTTTTCTCCAATATTCAATAGAAGGACCTGGTTGAGATCCAGTAGGTACAACTCACAAAAATGTGGGGGTCCCTCAATGACTGGGTCCTCCTGGAGTTTTTAACTAAGCCTCCAGAACTTGCCTGTTACCATTTTTCCTACACCTAGTTTTCTTACACCCAGCACTGGTTCCGAGAAGGTTACTGCTCTGTTAAGTTGTGATTCTCTATATTTGCTTGCCAGTCTCTCCAATTTTGGGGAGGCCATTTGCCATGTGATCTCATTTCTCTTATAAACCTAAGAAGGGTTGTTTATTTTTCGATTTGTTCAGTTTTTAGCTTGTTAGAGTGGAGTGGCAACTTCCAAACTACTTACATGCTAGACCAGAAACTGAAAGTTGTTAACTTTTGAAGTTGCTAAAGAACTAATTCATTATACTGCAAACTGGCAATTTAACTGCAAAAAGCAAGCATTTATCCTGCCTTTCCTATATGAACTATGCCTTAGGGTAACCAAATATTGACATAGGAAAATTCTTTATTGAAAATTTCAGCTAACGAGTGCATTCAGAATGATAGAAGTAAAATATTGCCATTTTACAACTCCCACTGAAGTAATGGATCTAAGCAGTGAACATCAATTGTTTCAAAAACTATTAGGTGAAAGGCTGAAGGGAAACTTTTTTAATAGATTGATAAGGCTGGCAACACTGGAACCTATTAGTCAAGTTTAATATCACAAAAAGATAAACATGCAGACATAGACACTATATACTCGTACTTCCTAATAATGAAACAACAGTAAGTCTATACCAGTACCTATGATGTATACTTGCCCAAAATAAACAGCAAGAATCTTATCAAGCCTCTAGATCTAAACTCCAGTTTACAGGAAAACTGGAAGGTAAAGGAATATGTAAAATCACACCACAAGATGCTAACAACAAAATCCAAAATGCAGGAATTTCAATTCTATAGAGCAATTACCCAGTTTCTTCCACAAATAAATGGCATTTTAAAAAGGGGAAGTGGGCAACCTACATTAAAGAGAATTATTCAAATTCAATGTATGGGCCATGTTTGAATCCTAAGTCAAATGAACCAACTGCAGAAAATATTTAAAAGCCAAACAGTCAGAATATTTAACAATATTAGGAATCATTATTTTTATGTAGATTAATAACAATAGTTATTAAAGAGTACCGTATTTCCCCATGTATAAGACGCTCCCACGTATATAAGACACACCTTAATTCTGGGGCCCGATTTTGAAAAAAAATGTATTACATAAAGTTATTGTACTCAAGTTTTATTCATCATAAAATTCATACAACTCCTCATCACTGTTAAAACTCCCAACCATTAGCTTGTCCTCATCTGTGTCTGATGACGAATCACTGTCTTCAAATATTGCCTCATCCTCAGTTCCATCTATGGCATTTGAAATGCCACACTTCTCAAATGACTGGGCAACAATCTACAACCACTGTATAAGACACGCCCAGTTTTTAGACCCCAAATATTCTAAAAAGGGTGCGTCTTATACATGGCGAAATACGGTACTTATTTTAGCAATACATGCTAAAATATTTATGGATAAAATATCTGGAATTTTCTAGTAATCTAGTGTAGAAAAAAAAAAGTTGGTGTGAATATAGGCAAAAAAAAAAATTATTATGTGGGTGGATACGTAGATGGGAATTGATTTTACTATTCTCTCTTCTTTTGTACATTTGTACATTTTCATAATTAAAAACATAAAAAATTATCCAGAAGAGACATGTGCTGAATGTGAAAATTTAAAAATATCCTAATTTATTTTGCTTGTTTTCATTTTTATTTTATGCATAGTATTACATGATACAAATCATTTTTAAAGTCTGAAAGACCTATTTCAATAAAAAATAAAAATTCTAAGTGATAAAAAAGCATTGTATCATAGTTTAATTGGCAGTATTCTTTTCTTTTGTAGGAGTACATAAAGTAACAATATATCTTATATCAATAATGTTTTATATTTAATAAAAATAAGTTATTACTTATCAGAGATAACAAACAATTTTCTTATCAGGAAATAATGACTATACAATTTTTAAAGTCAAGCAGTATAAAATATTCCCGTGATTTTAAAAATCAATTAAAGGAAGAATTCAAAACTGGAAAGACCAACCTTGATCATCTCGGCCTCTATCTGCTGATGAACACCTATGTAACTTTTCTTCACCTGCTGCTTGTCTTTGATCATCATGGTGACCCTGTGTAAGGGTCCAGAATTTAGGTCCTCTGCATGTGTCTTCATTATTCTACTAAGTTGTTCCGTCTGCTGAATCATAAGTAACCATGACTTTAAAAAAAATAAAAATAAGGAAATAAAATTAGCACTTGTATTAGAGGTTTCCCTTTACCTGTGTTTTTTAAGTGTTCAATAACTTTAAATATTTAGTTTTACACAAATTATTACATTAATACAAAAATGGCAAATTTCTGGCAATTGTGCAATGAACTATGAATGTTTCATATTTAACATTTTCAACTTCAAGTGCAAATGTTTCAAAAGTAAGTATCAGAGGCTATGCAGACTGCTAGGAAAGGGATTGAGGGACTCTTTGAGAATCCACATTTGCAGTCTTCTGTTTGGTTTTCAACACAATGATACATTGCTTCTGCTCACACAATTTTAATTTCTCAATAAGGTCACCATTTCCTACTGGTAAAATGAAACAGAAATTTTCCCATCTTTATTCTTACTCTATCTCTGTCGCTGGCAACTCACTTCTTCCCAAAACTCTTCTTTTTTGGCTAGCATGACTTATTTTCCAACATACCAACTTGTCTTCCTCCGTTCCTGAAAATGCTTTCTCAGTCTTTGTACCTGCTCTTCTTTTGCTGCTTACATCTTAAATACAGGTATTCTCTGCATTTTTATCTATAGTCATTCTCTTGTTTAAATAAATACCATTAGTTCTCAATGGTTTTTTCAGTACAACACATTGCGTCAATAGCAGAGACACAAAATGGTGGGTTTGGACAAGTGGGCATATGCATATTACTGGAAAAACAAGTCATTTGTTATTAGATTTTCTAACTAATAAATACTGAAAAAAGTAACAGAAGGATGCTATTTACTATAGGTCTTCAAAATTTTATTCAGAAACAATTATTGGAGAATTGCCACAGTCAGAGAGGATCCATGTCAAAGATAAAGAAACTGGACAATATATAGTTTCACACATTTACAAGAATAATTTTTCTACTCTATCACTTTTTTATCTGTGAATAAGCAGACTTATTCTCTTTCTGTTAATATTCCAATATAATCCTAAATCATAATTTAATAAGCATCTAAATCAAAATAATAGCCTAAAGAAAGCAAATTCTTAGTCATAAACTTGGTAATCTTGTTTTTGATACACTGCTCTATAGGTTTTTCTAAGTAAATAAATAAATAAATAAACCTTTGAGGACATTTGTTCAGGGAGGGAGGTCATTTTTGTTGTAAAATGTTATTATGAACATGGAACAAGCCATGTGGCCTATAAACTCATCATATTTATTTTCAAATTCAAAAATTTAAGTAGTACCAACATGCTCTTGATACCACAAAGAAATTTAAAACTAATGTAGCTCTTCCATCAAAACCTAAATTTTAACAAAGATGAAAACAATTTTTAAAACTATACACATGGATTAAAAACATAAACTAAATGGCTCTAATAACTCTTGTTGCTTTGCCTTTTTTATTTGATACTGTCACTTTAAAACACAATGTTGGGAAAACATTTTATAGCATGTGGATAATGTTAAGGCTACCAAAAAAAAAAAAAAGTGACAGGAATCAGTTCTTTCTCTACCTTAAAAAATAAATATTCTCTAAGTGCTTTAGAGAAGTAGAATGTTTGTCATTCTACGTAGACGTCCTTGAAGCCTAGGGGAGAAGCCTTCTTGGAAGCCAATATTAAAGCCTACAGAAAAAGGTCAGACTGCCCTCCGCCTCCCAGAAGGGCACATCTTATCCTACCTAATAGCCCTGTTCACTGTAGTCACTGCAGGAAATCTAAACCTCCTGAGATAATAGATTATCACCCTGACTGTCAATCCCATGTTGCCCTCAATATCTCCTAATCTGACCCAGGACACTATCTATAGAATCCTTACCCTCAAGAACTCCTGCTCGGTAACTGGAAAACTCCTTATACCTCTTTTCAGAACTTTCTATTATCTTCTAGCTTTAGCAAAAGCCTGGCTCTATTTCCACTCCCAATACTGCTCATAAACATTCACCCCTTCCTAAAAAAGTCTCTGCTCCTTTGAAATGCAGGCCAGCCTTTCCCATGAACAATTTATCATCAAGTCTTTCTCATTCTCCCTCCCAAGTCTACCACAAACACACCTACTTCTCTCCAACTTCACTGTCGCCCTTTTGGCAGTTATGAATATCTCTGGCTTAGATTAGTACAACACCTCCTAATCTCACCAACCAGAACAGTCTCCATGAGGGCAGTGGCATGTCTCTTTGTCCTCTCTTCTACTCATGCTCCCTTCCAACCCATTCAACTTAAAGTAGCAAAAACATGTCATGCTCCTGTATAAAACTATAGATTGGCTTTCCTTCTCATTTAAAGAAAAACCCAAACTTCTTTCTAAGACCTAGAATGTCTCCCATTATCAGTCCTCTGTCTATCCTTCCAATTTCATGTTTTGCCATTCTCAACCCAGCTACATAAATTCTAGGAGCACTGTTCTTCCTTCAGTTTCTGCATACTCCCTCTTCCTGGAAGCTCTTCCTCTCCTCTCCTCTCCTTCACATGATAAGATCCATCTCTTCCTTTAAGAATCAACTAAATCTTGGGCCGGCCGAGTGGCTCAGTTGGTTAAGAGCTGGCTTGGGAGCACGAGCTCTGAGCAGCAGGGCCGCCGGTTCAGTTCCCACATGGGCCAGTGATGCTGCGCCCTCTACAGCTACGATGGTGAACAATAGCTTGACCTGGAGCTGGGCTGCCGTGAGTGGCCAGCAATGGCATAGGCTGCAGTGGGCTCCCATAAGCTACCGTGAGTGGCCGGCAGCCAGTCTGAGCGGCCATCCAATGTCCGGCGAGCGACTGCCTCAGCCAAGAAGAGCGCAATGATCATAATATCAACATGGGCCAATGAAGCAGCATCCTCCACACTAGACTGAAGAATGAAAGGACAGCAACTTGTCTGTTCCCCTTCCCTGATTCCCCAATGCTGTTCCCCTCCCCCTGTTCCCCAATAAAATCTAAAAAAAAAAGAAAATCAACTAAATCTCATGTAAATCTAATCCTTGCTCTTTGCTATTCTCTCTTAGCATTTAAAACATCTCCCTCTCATCTCTCTCTCTCTCTGTCCTCCCCTTCACACACACACACACACACACACACACACACACACACACACACACTTGAAATAAGTCCTCCTCCCACTTTGTAGCTTTAAAGATGGTAGAGGCTTCATGAAGTTATTAATCTTTGAGTTGCCTAACTTCCTCTGTTTGCTTTTAGCTCTTCTAAAACTTTTGAACGTATTTTCCCAAATTAGAGTCTATCTATCAAACTACCTGGTATAGGTTCTGTTTCCCTGACTAAATCTTAACTTTTACAGATAGGAAATTCAAAGAGATCAATAACCAGAGAGTACACTGGTTATCATAAAACAATGATCAATGATTGTACTCTAATAAAGTACAAAGCTCAAACATGTTTTGCTAATGAATAATTTCAAACTTCTGAATCAGATACCTTTGGTGCTACCTAAGTTGTTTCTAAGAACTGAGAATGTAAAAAAAAGTTCCTAAAATGACTATAACACAGATACCAAAAAGTGACAAAAATATTACAAAAGTAAATTCACTTATGAATAGCAATGCAACAATCTTCAATAAAATAATACTAGGACAAATACTAGAAAGAGGACATAAAATAACTAATAATTCAAGTAAGGGGGTTCTTCTGGCCATAACATAGTAATAGATATAAAACTCATCTTCCCATTAAAAAACAACTAGAAAACTGGACATAAGGTAGGAAACCACTGTTTTCAAATACCGGACAACAGCACAGGACTGAAATACCAAAGAGAAGTGAGAACCCTAAAATTGCCCATTTTCTGCTCGGAGGTACTTTCCTAAGGGAAGTGCAGAGAGGAAATCTGAGAATAGAAGTCCAGAACCAGCAGACTTAAAAGTCAGACTAAAAAGTTTGATTTTATACTAATGACAATGTCCAATTAGAGGATTTTAGATAGAGGAGTACATGGTCATTACAGGGGTAAATTTGAAGGTCAGGGAGAAGTTTCTCTGTGCTTCACACCACTGATATTTGTCTACTTTTTTGTCTCAAATAATAATGCAAAGCCTCATCTGATCTGAATTATCCTGAATTCTAAATAAGTAGTCTGATTTCACAGATGTTAATTACAACTTACCAGAAGAAAAGTAAAATGCTATTAGGAAAATCTTAAAAAACACAATTAGCCAAGATAGAGTAACAGAAGCCAAACTTACCCTTCTACCTGAAACTACCAAAAAATGGACGAAATACTAGACACAACAGTTTTCAAGACACTGGGTATCAGGCAATGAGGGATATGATTGCTGAAAGAAAGAAAACATCCAAGCTGAGCCATGGGATTGCCCAACTTACTGACTTGAGAGGCTGTGTACAGGGAGAGAAACTGAGGCAGAGCCCAGAAGAACCCCTGAGTTGAGACACAGCAGAGAGTTTAGGAAGAACAAGGCAGCTGGAGTCCCTGAGACAGACAACTGAAGAGGACAGAGGTACACACGGAGAGAAGCCAGGAGATCAGCAGCCAGCCCCCTTCCAGGATCAACAGAATGCTGATCAGTGCCTGTCTATGAGGAAACCCCATGAGCTGGGGAAAGAATGCGCTGAAAAGATTAGTGGTGCTCAGGCATGGCTGGGAATCGTGCCTATTCTGACCAGCCACACCAGAAAAACTCATAATTCATCGGGTATCGAGTAGAGTACTCAAAAAGGTTTGCCTCGGTAGTGGGGCGTAATTAGGCCTGGACTTAACAGTGCTCTGGTCCTGCCTAACAAATATTAAAATCAAGATTCAAAGGATCAGACTCTTTCCTAGTAACTTAACTGTTTTGTCTGTTGCTCCCAAACGGAACTCAGCAACACATGGCAATATAAATTATGAAAAATGAAACAGAAAAAAATAGAATATATAAATAGAAACAGAGATAAACAGAACATCACTGAATCAGTTGCACAACACCTTCTAAAGATCTAATATACATGTACAGACATACCTCGGAGATATTACAGGTCCAGTTCCAGGTCCCATAATAAAGCAAATAAC